AAGTGGAGGGATTTGATTATATTTAACATATATTTTGAACAAAAAGTTAAGGAAATAGTCTACCTTCTCAAAGTCTCCATGTTCCTTAAGAATTTATCATATTGGCTTCTCATCAAATAAAAAGTCAAAAAGAACCTGGATTTTAAAAAATGGTGTTGAAATTATTAGCTATTTTGGGAAACCTCAGGTTTTAAATTCTCTGACCTCTTCTATCTTATCAATAGAATTTAGATAGTACTTCCTGTGCCTTCCTTACATGGTCATTATGAAAGTATAATAAAATACTTCTCAAACTAATTTTAACTTAATCAACCTGCTAGTAATATTAGCAAAAACTCATTTCTCTGTAAAGTATACACATGGAAACTAAAGGCTCACTGAATGCTAAAATCTAGTAAACTACTCTCAAATAAAAACATCAAATTGGGATGTAGATCCATTAATCATAAGGATAAAAATGTGTAATATACAAAATATATGATTTGATACTAGGTTTGCTTTATAAGCATTATTATATCACTTGAATAAATAAAAGCTAAAAATTGTACAGATTGATTTGTAATGGGCTGTGGAAGACAAATCCATACAGAATTTATGAAATTCTATTCAGAGAACCAATTCTCAGTAACCAAAAATATATTTGTTATTCATAAAGTGATTTGTAAAGTGGCACATATTTATGTTTTCAAGTAAACAAATTAAAATATTTACTATTATGTCTGTTTTCAGTAAAAATAAAATAGAGCACAGTCTATTCGGTACTTCTAGAGGACCTGAATTTGTTTGCCAGAACCTATGTCAAATGGTTCACAACCTACTATAACTCCACATCTAATAGATCCAATGCCTCTGGCCTCTGTAGACACGTGCACGCGTGCACACACACACAAACTCACATGGAGATCAACACACACTTTTTACTTTAACAATATAAATAAAGGTGTTTTTTTTTTTACTTTAACAATATAAATATTTTATCACTCTTCCCAACTTGTGTACTGGCTTCCCCACATTTTCTCCTCAGATTCTGATAAACTTTCTTTCAGCTAAAGAAAGCATAAATCACATATTACAGTTGCAGAAATCAAGGTTACACACACACACACATACACACACACACGGAGATATTCACGTAATTTAAAATAAATCTTTGGGCTGGAGAGATGACCAGCAGTTAAGAGCACTGATTGCTCTTCCAAAGCATCCAGTTGTAGTTCCAGACCAAAATGATGACTCTCAACCATCTGCTTCCTGGGAATCCAGTGCCTTCTTCTGGTCTCCATAGACGTGAGGCACACAAGCAATACATAGACATAAATGCTCACAAAACAACTATGCACATAATAAGAAGTGTTTCAATACATAATTATTGGTAGTTTTTTTGCCTTAACCTACTTTTAGTTAAGCAACCAATGATGTGTGATGTTTTGTTCTGTTAAAAAGCACATCTACACCTCATTCTCAATATTTACTGTGCCTGAGAATCTTTTGTGGGCCTTTATTAAAATGCCAAGCTGTGGGCCTTATCCCTGCATATTTTGACTCCCTACCACTGGAGTGAGGCTAGAATTCACTGAGAACCACTAGTCTGTAATAACTAAGTGAGCTATAAAAGCAAAATGACACACTTGCTTTTCAGAATGTCCATAGCATAGAGGAAATAACAGGGGCAGTGGTCAGAACTGGTCTCATAGAGGTGGTCATTAAAAAATATGGTAAAGGATAAATGGACAATTATGAATGCTAAAGGTGAAGAGATGCTCTAAATGAAGTCAAGAAATGGGAAGAAGCATTAGATATATGACAATACGACGCTTTGGAGCAATACAATATACCTAGAAACCAAGGAAATAAATATAAGCAGGAAGGTAAACAGGACACCATTCTGAATAGAATTATAAGAAAATCAAAGTTAAATTTTGTTGTGGAAAGCAGTGTTTTCAAGTTGAGTTGCACAGAATTCATATTTGGGAAAGGTGGTTTGTGTATGTTGCAAGTAGCTGAGCAAGAGAGCATTCGAGTGCACATATTGGACTTGAAATGGGTTATAATAAGCTGATGCATTAGTCTGTCTCTCTGATCGTGAGCATTTTCAGTTATTATGAAGAGTTTAGCTTACATTTACAGGGTAACAAATGCCTATACCTGCTTATGGACAGTATTATACAAAAAACACAAAATACAAAAAAACTATTGATTGGCTGTATAACTTGTTATAATTCTTCAGATCAATTTAAGCCAATAAAGCACCACACTTATTTGCTCTAATCGGTTTTACTGGAGCAGAACAAGACTTGTTTCTGAAGAACTACTGCTCTATGGAAACTAACATAGAATTTGTCCCAGGCAAACCATATTGTGTTTGGGTAATAACATTGTTACAACAAAATGACGTATAATAAGGTAAAATAAGAAGTGAGGAAATCAGAATGTATTTTCAAGATACAAATCAAGAAAATAAGATGAAATGAACAAGTCCTGGAGAGGGGAAATGGCATAAAATGAAGAACTACAAAGGAAATAAGATTTGAATCTCCATCAGATAGTGGGGGGGAGACTCGGTTCAACAAAACAGGATCTAGATTTCCACTTTAATTTTAGCCATGATGGAAAGGTAAAAGTACACAGAAGGTGCTGACTTCTTACCATTCAGAATAGAATGTTCTTTGTACATTTAATCAGTAAGTCTAAATGAAGTTCTCATTTCAATAATGGCTCTAATTTTGGATTTCCTCAATCCATTTTATATATTCATTATAGACTATGTTACCTATAAAATAGTTACATAATCACTTTTCAAAATTAACCATAATCCTTGTCAAAGAAGCTATTATGTTTTCCTTCTTTGGGGTGACTTAAGTACTATCAGTGCATAGCTAATGCAGCTGCCTAGCCTCATTATTCGAAACTTATTGCCATAAAAATATATTATTATATATATTATTTATATTATATTAAATATAATATAATGGCTGTATTTGTTCTGCTACAAATAAGGGTTTTTTTATATATTTAACAATATAAATATGGCCAGGCAGTGGTGGTGCACACCTTTAATCCCAGCACTCAAGAGGCAGAGGCAGGCGGAGCTCTGTGAGTTCAAGGCCAGCCTAGTCTGCAAGAGCTAGTTCCAGTACTGCCTCCCAAGCAACACAGAGAAACCCTGTCTCGAAAAACAAAAACAAAAACAAAAACAAAAAAATACAAATATTTTATTACCCCTCCCAACTTGTGTACTGGCTTCCCCACATTTTCTCCTCAGATTCTAATAAACTTTCTATCAGATAAAGAAAGCATAAAATCACATATTACAGTTGCAGAAACCAAGGTTCCAGGGAGAAAAACACCTTTCCCATGATAGTATGGCTGGCAGATGCAGGCTTTGCTTTAAGTTTGGTTCATCTGGTTCATAGGCCAGTGCTCTTCCTACCGTGCCATCTGGATTTGAAATAGCACACACTTAACTTATGCCACTTGCCATGACCATCCATTTCCTAATGAACTTGTAGGTGACCACGTGCTGAACTTTCTTTCCTGTATTTACACATCGGAATTGCTCTTATTTAAAATTTTCTCTCCTGGCTTTACAGCCTCGGCTGTCCAACATCTGGTTTAGAAGTCTACCTGTTCTGTTCTAATTTTATCTCTAATAAAATTCTTCTGTGTCACTATCAGATTCATTAATTGAGGGGATTAGGAAGTTTTCTCAGGATGTGGGAAAGGAAATAGAAACAAAATAGAGAATTAAGATATAATTCCCCTGCATAGCAATTCAAATTTGGCTTCCAGGACTCTTGCACACCCTTGTTTCATGACCACTTTATTAAGCTCTTCCTTACACTGATATAATATCTATTATATCATCTGAGGGGAGATATCATTATTGCATTCAAATTTCACACAATTGATTAAATACGTTTAATTCTAAATAAGCTTGAACTTTAAGTAAACTAATGACTATAGATTTAACATTTCATAATAATCCTAGAAAGAGCTGAGGTAATGACTAAAACCTTATTATATATCATTTGTTTACTACAAAATTAAGAATTTGCAAAATTTTCCTTTTTTGAAGAATAAAATTGTTTGGTACTTATTTCCTGCAAATTCTAAAGTTTAGTATTTTTCTTATAATGTATTCAAACACAGTTATAAAACTAGATTCATTTGTATCATACAAATTGACTTAAAGTTTTTTCCTTGTATAAATCATGTCAAAATTATACTCAAAGGCAACCCCCAAAAAGAGCAATAAAAGATATATATATATACATAGTATCACTTTACAAAGTGATACTAGAATATCTTTATGTAGTAGTGTTACATCTGTTTTATTAAATTCTCATTTTCTTTTCCTGCCCAAAATTCTGCTTGTTTATTAGAAGCTCAAAGTCAAACTATAACTGCCTAAAATGTTTCCTCGCTAAACCAGAACAATGATTACTTTGGAGTTATTATAAGTATTGCAAGTTCTCAAAAGCATTAAACCCATAGCATCTGTACATTCATGAAGGGTCTAAACTATTTTTTTCGTATCTAGAATTTTTAAAGTTATTATTGGACTCATTAATCTATTGCCTACCTAATTCTAGCAACATGGTAAGAGCCTTATTCCTTTTACTGAACAGAGAAAGAGAATTAGCAATCAGATTCTCCGATGACAACACGGGAAAGTAAACGACTATCATGTCTCCTTCAGTTTACTACTCGTACACAAATATGTTTTTCTCCACTGATCGGGCCTTAACGTCTTGCAAATGCTACTTTTTCTGTGTTTTCCTTCTCTTTAAACTACCATTGTTTTTAATAAATTAATGCCCAAGTTGATGTCTGATTTTAATTGACCTAGTACTGGGCTCTTTGAGGCTGGCTCCCCAACAATTTATAGCCCTGAGTGTGTGAGAGTGTGTCTGTGTGTGTGTGTGTTACATGTGTTTTCTTGTTCCTTCGCAACAGTAAAATAAAAATTTAACAGGCCTTAAGGCCAATTCAAAACCTACCTTGCAGATCTGGAAATAGTCTGAAGTCAGGCTTTCCTGAATCTCCTCTCTGAGAACCCCTGCAGTCCCTCCTGGATGCACCGAGCCACTTCCAGCCCCACCGCTGTTACTGCCACTGCTGCTGCCACTGCCAGGGGAAGAGGCAGTTAAACCATCCAAAACTTTTCGGAAATTAAACTTCTTCATTTTAAACACTGTTGAAAAATTAAAAGGAAAGAGAAGGGGTGACGAACATGGATTCACACGGGGCATCCGTCAAGACAGAAGTAGCTAGTCCCCATTTTATGAGCCTTGGATGTAGTCTAGGGGAGATTGGGGCTCAGGCTTCATTTTGTCGAATTTTAACTTTAAAAAGCCATGTCTTTATAAAATAAAGAGAACACCACTCCGAGAGCAACAGTCTTCCTTCCTCACACATGAGATTTTCAAGGGCTTTCTCCCCAGCTGTAGCTCTGCTTTATCAGCACTGGGGTAAAAATAAAAGGCAGTGTCATCACCGTCATTAGCATTATATCATCATTATTATACAATCAGACCAGAGCCCAGCAGATCAAGACCCTCTGCATTGCTCTGAAAGGGGGCTTTCCTTCTTCAGGGTCAGCTCCGAAATTTTTATTTTCAGAAAAAGCGATGTTGTGAGGGAGCCAATATTTACTCTGCCACCATGTTCGGGGCTCCCCCCCCCCATCATCTTCAACGCTCCTTCTTTCTCAGTAGGAATTGGGGGACAGGGCAAAAATGGCTTTTTCTTTCATCCCGTATTCCCAAAAACCCGGACCCCAGAACATCTGCGGGTGACTCACGGCCACAGCCGACGGGAGGGGCGAGCGGGGGACCGCCTGCCTCCACCTGTCCCCGTCTCCTCTCTCTGTCCCTCTCCCGCCCCTGGTCTCCCGTGTCTGCTCCCTGC